GCGTTCTAAGCAGATTCGAGAGTTTACCTAGGTAAAAAAAAATACTGCACCATTCCTCATTAAATGAGAAATCCTATTTTAACAGAGGTGGACAAAACTGACCTACCAAGTTATGTGTATGCACAAGCCTGAATTGATTTTAATGCTGCAGCATTCATCCATCTCACTTTGTCTCTACCCATTTCTCATCACAGCCTCTCTTTATTGTACTATACAGCACCTAGCATGTTCTTGGATACTATAAAAATAATAGCAGCGCTCCTGTTACAGTTGATTCAAGCAAGCAAATTATGCAAATTCTAGTACATTAATAAAATTGCATAGTATTTTGGCTTTATTTCAATTTTAGTGTTTTCTGCAATTCTATGCTAGTAGGCCCTGTATTTAGGTGACAGCAGGTAGATGAAAAGCCATATCATGGTTTCTTAGATAGAAGATTATGCAAAAAAGGATCTCTTTTAGAAAAAAAAGTGTGCTATGTAGGAAGGTCCAAGGACAATTATGTGAACTACAATAAATAGTTTTGAAAGAAAAGATGCCAGTCTCCAAATTTTCCTAGCTCAGTAAAGATGATGATAATCACTAGGAAAGCAGTTTAAAAGTAAAAAGAATGATAAAAATCACTCAGTCCTTATCCTGGGAAATCCTTGCCTGTTTAGCAAATTGAGACTCACTAGAATGTGAGCAAGAACCTAACAAATAATAAAATTAACTAAGCCTGAAAATAATTTCTTCAGATGTAGCTTTGGAAAGTAGATGCTTTTGAATCAGCTATTAGTGTTTCCTAACATAATCTCTCTTAAGTAACTGCTTACAAATTTCAGAAGAATAAAATCTTTCAAAAAACAGAACCCGGAGAATGTCAAGTTCTCTATGGCTGTAATGAAGGAGCCTGCTGTGAACTACTCAGAATAAATTGTAATCAGCTTTAACATACTGGAGCTAGCTTTGCCCTCTGGTCAACTATAAGCTTTCAGGCACATGGCAAGCAGCAAATAATACCCCAAAATAGACAAGTAAATTAGAAATGCAGTTTATATTGCTAGATTAGATTTGGTGGATGACATTTTGGAATCACAACGTAAGTAATAAACAGGATTAAGAATAATTTACTTAAGTAACAGAATTTATGAGCACTCTGAAATTCAGAATTTGTGTGATTATATTTTTGGTCTTGCTGCTTAATAGCATCAGAATTTGTGTGAACTACAAACCTTCAAAAAGGACCTGAGAACTGCTTCAGCTACAAAAATTCCTTGCAAAAACCTGCTTTAGGATGTTAGTTGCAACACCACATCTGCAACAGTTCTGAGAAAACATTTGTCATCCCATAAAAGATCCCTTAATCTAAGCAAGTGGATGAGGATAAATGAACAAGCTAATCTGCCTTGACAAACGTGTCAGATATTCCCTCAGTGTTTCTTCTTCAGAGAAAATGAAAAGATTCTCGTTACATCAGTGTTTGCATTTTTACCCTTTTACTTAATAACCAAAGAAAATCTTGTACAGTTAGGTGGAGGCAGTGAGCCCCTGTAGAGACTTCCCTTTAAGACGCTCTGATGGGACTACTGTAATTTAGATGCGGCACCTGCTGAATTACTGGGGGACGCTGCTGAAAAAGTACTGTGCTCATACTATTGCGACTACCTGTGTGCTTCCAGCCAGGGCACTGGAAGTCACACTGGCATATAAAGTCAGACCAACAATGGAATCTCATTTATGTATTATCACCTGACAAGATGATACTGCTCCTGGATCTTGAGGGATACTCAGGGGTGGGTAGGGAACAGGAGTGCCTAGAAGAGAGGAAATCGCCCACTGATGCTGCCATCCCCAGCTCTGCCCAGCACTCCAAGCAGTTCCTTCCTGCAGCTGAAAACTCAGGGCCAAGCAGGGGCAATGTGTTGGAGAAGGAGGGAGCAGGGACTTGGCACCCTATGCAGCTGCTCCCCACAGTCCCTGGTTGGAGTGGGGCAGGAGAGATCCTAGGGTTTCCCCTGCTCCTTGGACAGTAGAAGACAGCAGCAGCAGCAAGCTTCCAGTTCTCCTGTTCCCTACCTGCCTTTGGGTGTCCCTTGCAGTCTGGGAGCAGGTGGTGGCATGCCCCTGTCACTGTCCCTGGCCAAGTAAGGCACCTCATGCTGTGGCTTACCATAGATCCTGGTTGAAGCCACCAGCACCAGGGAGCAGATGCTCCTTCTTGCACCCAGAAGCAACCCCTAGAAAACCCCTGCTGGAGAGGGGGAGAGGGGAATGGGAGAAGGGAGGTTCCTGGTGGTAGAAGGGGTGGGATGTTTACACGCTGCAGGGACTACAAAAAGTTCACAGCAGCGCCTGCCATGGCACAGTCTGCCTGCAGGGGAGGTCAGAGGGGAAAGGGGACCATTTCCTCTGCTGCACTAATGGCATCTCCCACGCTCCCTTTTTCACATTCCTGGATCCACCCATGCAGGTGTGTAATAGCATAATATCTGACTAATTTCTATATTACCTTTATTTTCTTATTGCTTTACTTATATTCTCCCACCATGCCCATCACTGCAGTGTTTTATCACCTTGTCACACACCCAAGTACTTCCCATGACTAAATGTGCTTAATTTAAGAGATCTGATGAGATCATTGCCCATGGCAGTAGAGTAGCTGCTCAGACTTACAAAGCAGATTTGTTCGTGGAAGGATCCATCCAAGGAAAAAGCAAGCAAGAATAAAACTTTGCCTCCTTGACAGAGTTTGATTACTGCTGCACGGGGTCCAAGTAACCCTCCTCCTTGCTACTTGAACACAAAAGAGAACAGACTGTTTCTATTCAGCAAACCACGAAAAAAGAAAAAGAAGTTCAGTCATGACCATAATTAGAGTATTCCATGAGATCCCGAAGTGTAGCACATGTACCACTTCTGCTTGTTATTCCATCAATTCACTTCAGAATTAATTTTGAAGGGGATAATACTTAAAAGAAACATCTGAAAACCTAGCACTAAAATATGTAATTAACCAAAATAAGTGAGGATGTGACCCCAGGTTCTAAAACTGGGCATATATGCTCCCTTAAAAGGATTTATTAGTAAGATGACCTTAGCACAAGTGTATTAACTACCAAGTCGCTTCCCATTGTCCATTCAATTTTCTATTATTGTCCTGTGATCTAAGATTATTCTGAGAAAGAGTTTTTATTTAAAGTTCTGATCCCAAAGTCCACTGAAGTCAATAGGAATCTCTCCTAAATTTTATATTTTCACTGTACATTAATCCACTAGTGAACAAGCCTCTTGCATCTTAAACTTATGTTCAAAACAACTGCCAAGACAGAGAAACAAACCAATGAAATGCTATTCTTCTGTTCTAATGCAGTGGTGGGCAATTATTTGGGTTGGTGGGCCACTTAATGAGTTTTGGTGACCTGTTGAGGGCCACATCTCAGCATGGAAGCCTGAACCCACCTGCAGCTTTAACATGCCTTGGTTCCCAGAGTCCAGGTTTAGGCTCCAGGTACTTGGAGAGGTAGTCAGGGCTTGCTACAGGTGTAGGCTGTGACCAGCGTCGAAGCCTGAACCCACCTGCAGCTCTGGCATGCTTCTGCGCTGGTGGCAGCCGAGCCCAGCAAAGAGACAACGAAAGGGAGAGAGATCACACGTGCACAAGCAAGCAAGTACGCCTGCACACTGGAAGCAGCATGGTCACCCGGCACCACACAGCTGCCAGAGCTGCCACCTGCCTGTGGGCCGGATCCATTCACTTGGCGGGCACCTCCCCACAAGCCAGATCCAATCAGTTGGCAGGCTGTATTTTGCCCACCCCACTCTAGTACTATTTGGAAAACATACCATTATTCCCTATGCAAGATTTTATGATGCGTTCTTTAGACAATTGTTTTGTCTACTGATTTCACACTTGGAACGTGACTAATTTATAATGAAGTTAAACTGGTTTATTTATTGTAAAGAATTTGCTCCAACAATTTTTGCTACTTTCCAAATCAATTTGTTTTTAATTATTTAACCAGCTTTAATAATAAATGTTTGTAGTGCAAGTCAAGCTAAAAAACCTTGAAGGGTCTGGAAGCTTGACAGTTTAGTTTTTTTTTTTACTTTAGAAATTCCCACATACTAAAAACAAACCAAAAAATGCAACAACATTGCTGTTTCAGACTTGATATGTTAATACTCTACAATATAAAATCTTTGGAAAACCAACATTTCCTTTTTGGTTTAAATTTATCTGAATGGTTCTCAGTTCTCACAAAAAAGCGTGCAGGCATTAACAGCGTACAGCTTACTGTGGTCAAGTGCTTAGCTTCAAGATTGCACTTAGCTGAACTTCATGTAAACAATACTCGTTAATGCTACTGCACTGTCAGTGTTGTGGTTTTACAGCTCCCAAACTAACTACCTCCTATCATTTCAAGGCTTCCAACAGCGGTCATGAGCCTGACTAGCTCCGATCCTGTTGAAAACTTCTAAAAGCAACCATTGACATCTACTTCCCTTTGGTTAACTGCGTAAAAAATGGCAAAGTAAAATTATATTGCAAATTAGGATTTAACGATGCACTACATAGGGCTGAAACGTACTATCGAAGTAAGCATTTCATACAAATAAATGGTATTTGTTGTAATGCAAACAACAGGCAAAAAACTTGGATTGACATTGTGTTATGCATTTAAGTGAAATACGCCCACATCTATATGTATAAGTACAGCCGTTCTCAAATGTCCTAGTCACAGAGCCCTTTTATATCACTTCTTCTGCCACAGCACCTTTATTCCTGGCTCTGCAGGCTGCACAAAACAATGTGGAGACAGACGACCTGGACAGGCAATGGCAGCACACCACCTCCGGGCCTGGTCCACCATTACCCTTAAACTCTTTGGTGAACCCCAGGTTTCTGCAGAATGCTCTGAGAACTACTGCATAGTGAAATATGCTATTAAAGAAGTGTCCATAGGGATAGAAGATACTCAATTCACAATGGCAATAGAGCAGAAAAAGAGGCAGCTTACTGTTGCATGTGATATGGTAAGAATTCCATTTTTGACAGTGCACTTCCTTCTTTGCCACACCTTCCTTAACCTAAAATATTAAAAATAAAATGGCAATACATAAATAACCAAACAGAACTGCTGTTCTTCCTTTAGGTTGTCTTTACTGCATTCTTAAAGAGAGAAAGCCTAATTGAAAATGTCTGTTATTCTGTTTACGTTTTAACCAAATTAGCCAGTCTACACACACCTCTGACAAACCAATCAATCCAGGTAAAATGTTTAAAATACCTAAATCTCCCCCGTCAAAAGCAACTTAAAGACTTAATGAGCTTAGTCTTCTGCAGTTTTAATGAGACTGTAGTGCCAAGTCACTTTAAAATAGGACTTACAATACAAAATGCTTAGATGCTTTTGAAAACTCTAACACTCTACCTTTATGCTTTATTACTACATTGACTGCATTAGGTTTTATTAAAATATAAACCAATTACATTTTTCCTGACCAGGTGGGCTGAATTCTTTTATGCTAAAAAAAAAGAAAAGAGGCAAAATTTCCCCAGACTGCCACATCCAAAGTTGCCTTGGCTTGATTGAAGTTTTCCATTGTGTCTCCAATTTTTAAAAATAAAAAAATATTTCTACTTTGTATTCACTGCAAGGTTAGCAATTCAAGCCCCTAGTATGCATTTGATTGAAAAATCCTAAATGAAATTTCTCTTCAAAAAGGAAATACATATATTAAATGGCTTATATGTATCAGATTGTTTATAAGCCTCTAAAATACTTCAAAGTGATTAGAATCCTACTGTAGTTGTGTTTTTTTATTCAATAATCTGGTTGAACTTCTGATTTCAACAAAATTATATTTTTATGAATTCTAGTCTCCGAGTTTTTCTCATCTTCTACCTGAGAATAGGAAATTCTGTACTCAAAAGTAATAGTTACCTGAAGGCTAATATTTTTCAAAGAGTGAAAACAATTTTAATTTTCTTTTAGAAGGTTCAAAGCAGAAAATTGAATTCTGTCCATCTCCTATAGCATATTTATGTATTAAAGCTACACGAGTCAGCAACTTTCACTCTACTCCCTGAAAAAAATGCTGCTCAAATTCTACTTATTTGACTGAGCCACCTCTTATGCACGTCTTAAAACCATTGCACAGAACAAGAAATCCACATAATCCCTGGTACTTTAACACTGTCTGATTCAAAAACACTGAGAAGTTATTACAGACGTTTCTGCGTTCTTTTCCCCATATTCCCCTCACTTGACTGATACAATGCTTGTTCCTGCTGTACCATCAAGTTAAGGAGAGGGAGGGAGGGAGGGCAAGGGGGATCCATTGCCACCCTGACTGGTCTTTTGATAATGTCACCTCTTCAATATTTAGTTGTTCTTGGAAAGAAGACTGACACTGACAGGGAGAAAGCATGGCAACCACAAATATGGATTATGTTACCATGTTCAACTTCTTGTATTATGCCATCTTGCATTACTTTCAGTGTATTAACTGCACTAATGTATCCCTGTAGTCTGCTTTCCTATTCCTCCACCTGTCCTTCTCTTGCCTCCAGCTAACACAGGAGTGTTAAAAAAGGCAAATGTCACCAGGGCCAGTCCAAGGGTAATTGGCCCCCTAGGCTGTGTACCTTGGTGCCCCCACCACTGTCAATATAGAGGAAAATAAAAAGTCTAGAATGAACTTTTACGTGTACTTATTAGATATTCAAAATGAACAATAAAATAATAATTTTTTTTATTGACTGTTTCACGCTGTTCATTAACCCTAACACAATTGTAACAGCCAGCCATGGCTGTTATTCAGAATGAGGTTCTAGTTATGTTGTTCTGCGTATAATTTTTTGGCACCTCCCCAAATTTTGGCACTTTAGGTAGCTGCCTAGTTCACTTAATGGTTGGACCGGCCTTGAGCATCACTGTAAATCTAATATATGCAATTAATGTATTTGGAAGCAAACATAAAGAGATAGTATAGTTTTTGTCAAGAGTTTTTGCCAATGAAGAAAAATAATTCTTTGTTGACAGACCATCCACTTAATGTTGTGGATTGTTTGTTGGAGCAACAAATAAAATAATCAAAACAAACAAAAATTCCACCCAACCAGGACCATGTAATAAAGTGAAGTCACAGACTGTTCTTTCATAAAATATAGTTAAAATATCAGTCCTAGAAGCCTTATTTTTCTTGAGTGAAGCACTAAAAATGTTCCTCAGATTAATAAATGATTATCTGCTGTTTACAATTTTATCACACTGCAAATTTGTCTTTTAAAAAGTGAAAACAGATTTATCCCCCACCCCTTCATCTACAAAGGCCTGGTGAAACTATCATTCATGTCTATGGCTAGGGACAGAAGCTACATATAAACTGGTTTAAGTGACCAGAAGCTGGTTTAAACCTGTAACAGAACAGAAGTTCAGTGCAGAAAAACCATCTTCAAAATGGCTGAAACTGGTTTAAGATAAACCTGGTTGACTATGATATCAGACTTAACTGATTTAGGTCAAACTGATTTATGAAACTTCTGTCCCAGACCCTGGTTCTAGTTAAATCAGAGTCCCCCAGCATGCTTTGCAGCCCCAGGCTGGGCTCCGCTGTCTGCTCCAGAGAGCAGGGCTGGCCCTGCCCCTCCCCTCCTTAGCGGGAGCTCACTGGCCTCACTGGCTGGCTCACTGGCCCCCACAGGCAAACCCCGGCTAGGGTCTGGGGCCTGGGAGGGGGGTTAAACTCCCCTCCCCCTAAGTATGGATCTGCCCTGCCCTGCTTACTGCTGGCTGTGACTGTGAACTACAAGTCCCAGAAGCACCTGGAAGCACGAAGAGGAAGTGATGAGCAACCCTTGCTGCTGAGTCTTGCTGCTGTGATTGTGGACCGCAAATCCCAGAGACCTCAGGGGCAGCAGGAAGAGGAAGCAAACACACAGCCCATGCTGGCTCTGTGCCACAGAGCCATGCTCTAGCGTTCCCTGGCTTCTGGCCTGGGCCACTGCAGGCATGGGGCTGCATATCCTGAATCAAAGGTGAATGTCTGTTCATTTGCTTATTGGTTCAATCTTCACAGCTTAGACTAACCTGCAAAGACTGAATCCATTCAGCCATGGGCTTTTTGACTGCCTGTACTCGGCCCATAAGACAGTGCAGTTACCATCTTACACTTGGTTCAATAGCCTCTTTGAAATGAGGTGGTGATCTCCAAACACTTCAAGATTCGAATACTATGCCATGTTTTCCTTAAAACTTTTATTTACGACAATAGCACTTACAAGCCACAAAAATCAGAAAAATTAACACCACATCTGCTTTTGAATTTACAAATTACAAAAATAGTTAAGACATATATTATATAGTGTGAATTTTATGTAATTCAAGTACCTACCCATCACTCTTCTTTAAGAGATAACCTTTCTTCTCACTACCATACTCCTTATTTCCCTGAAGCTGATGCATACTGTATCCTCCTTGCCTGCTTTGGGAATCCTATGAAAGGGAAAAAAACAAAAAACCCTTTAAAACATGTAATAAATTCTGCTATTCTCTAAAATGATACTCAGTTTGTTTCCATTCTTCCCCCTACCCCACCAATTTACAAATTAAATTTACCAATTTACAAATTAACTGAAGGTTCAGAAAGCAAAGAGTTCTAGGTAACATTTAACAACTAGGCATGCCCTCTTACATTAGCCAACCTTCCCTTTATTGAATAGTCTCAACTCTTACACATGTCATTGGGAATTCTGAGCATACTAAGAATATATGTAATGAAGACTAATATGTCAGAGAATACTTTAATGAAAGGCTAATCTGAAATAACAAAAAGCAACTAAATTTCACATGCATATAAGAAACATTCATCCTTAACACCAATATCCATCCTTAATTTTAAACCAGGTTGAAAATACACATTCTGCTAATGTTTTCTAATGAATGAAGCCATCTCAACATTTTAAATCTAATGAAGCAAACAAGTAAATGATTTACAGTGTTATCAAATTCACTAGAGAAATGAAGGCTCATTAAAACATTGACTTACTCTCCTAGACTTCAATCAGGAAAGGCAAAAGCAATACAGGAAAGAAAAAGCAAATAATTGAAAAAGATAATTATTTTCCATCATATGCTTCTAAATTTATATTTTGCAGTCTCACCATCTAAAAAAACAGTCTATAACCCCCCTCACAAATGATACCCAACACTGATAGGAAACAAAAAAAAACTACACAATTGTTTAGTGACTTCATAGCCTTTGCTTAGCAAGTAACAAGAGAATATGGTAAAATATTGTACCACATAATTTTGTTTATAATAATGAACTGGAATACAAAGTCATAACAGAAAAGATAGCAATAGGATTATAAAATAATTTAAATTTATGAAAACAAGCAATTTTTTGGCACTTTGCTGAGCAAAGAACTGGTTTGCACTTATTGGTGAGGGTTTTATAAACAAAAGCAATATAATTAAGAGTGTAATTATGAAAATGATTCACATGAACATTATTTATGTGCATGAATGCCATTGTTTTTTAGTGACAATTACTAGGAGTAGAAATTACCAGTTGAAGTAAAAGATAGCAAGATCAGATTTTAAGATTTTAGTTATGCATCTTTTATACCTTGGTTAAATATTGAAGGTTCTAAATAACTGTACTTCATCCTCCACAGATGGAAGGATGTATATTTAAATGGATACCACCAATTAATTCTGGCTGAAGAATCATACATTATAAACTCAATTTAAATAAAAAATATAGTATTTATTAAATAAAAATATTAGAAGAGTCTTTGTGAAAGTCAGGTACAGAAATAACAGGCAGAACCTCACACGTGCAGTACTGAAAACTGAAGGCATCTAACAATATAAAATTATTTCTTCACTCACACACTTACATATTAAATTATTTTAGCTACTATTCACCCCATATTACTTCACTGAAACTTCACTCTTCTTCCTCAACCTGCTCTTACACAACGAACGCTCCTTCCCAGTGCTACTGGATGTCAACTGCAATATAGTATCAACTGGCAGAGGGAAATTTGGCACGGGGTAAAAAAGCAGAGAAAAGATTTCTAATGTGTACATTGTGCTTACTTATACCACTTCAGTGTAAAAGGAATCAACTGACACATTGTAAAACTTTAGTTATTGACCAGAAATCCTTGTTTTCTCTGTTAAAAATGCAAAATTCTCTGATAAACCTCCTCCCCAAAATCCATGTTCTTTCACAATTAAAATGAAACACCACTATATATAGGAATCAGTTGAACAGAATGCTTTATTGATATATTTACAATTTTAAAGCAATTTGGAAGTCTATCAGTGCCTCAAGCATTACAAAATAAATTCTAAATACCTATATATTTTGGTGTTTCATCTTGGTTTTTTTTTATCATGGAAAATCATAGCTTTCTTCTTCCTTCACTCATCAGGACATGGGTCCAGCTGCAGCTGAGCCCTACCGCTGCTCTGTGGTGCTAAGCAACCCTGATATGCCAATGCCCCTCACTCCCCAACCACAGCCCACTCCCAGCCCTGCCAGCATGGCCTGCACCTCCCTGCCCTGCCACTGCCAGCCCTGCTAGCATGACTTACAGGCAGAGCTGGCCTTAGGGGTGGCCAGTGAGGACAACTGCCCAGGGCACCAGGGTGGGCGGAGTGTCATGGCATCCCAGGACAGGGCATTGCCTCAGCTTGGGCGGCACTGGAAGAGGAGGCAACTCAGGGATGCCCCTCACTTGCAGCCCCCCTGCCCTCCCAGAGGGGGCACCCAGCTGCCCCTGTGCCCAGGCCCCTGCCCCACAGTGTGCAAGGTGAGGGTGGGGGTGTGGGGAAGGGGGAGAGCCAATCACAGGCTATGTCACAAGTGATGTGTTGGGGGGGGAAATGAGGGGTGTGTGCCCTCCCAGATTTCTGCCCACAGCAGGGCACAGGGCTGCAGGCTGGCTGGACTGGCACTGGGCAAGAGCTGCCTCCTCAGCATAACAGGCAGGACCCAGTGGGGAAGGTCAGAGTGGGACAGCGAGACTCATTGCTGCTGTTGCCGTGAGCCCCATGCCAGATGTGCTGCCATGGTGAGGTGCCCCTTGCCCGTCACCGCAGTAGGAGGGGCACAAGCGTCCCCCTTTGCATCACTGGGCAGGGGGCACTTCACCGTGAAAGCCATGGGGGTGCGGCTGATGCTGCCCCACTCCACCCTCCTACACCAGGTCCCACCCACCGGTCATGGAGGTGGCTTGTGCCCAGTGTCAGTCCAACCAGGCTACAGCCCTGTGCCCCACTTTGGGTGGAGAAATCTGGGTGGAGGGGGCCATGTTCTCCCCCATACCACCCAACGCATTGCCTCTGGCACCTGACCCCTCCCCAGAAGTGTGTGCAGTGGCCAGGAATCAGCCCCTCTGGCCCCGGCAAGCTTCCTATGGCTCCCCAACTGGGCCCCATGGCTGCACATTCCCACCACAGCCTCAGGCACCATGCACTGAACCTGTTGGGCAGTGCCTGAGCCCCAGCCAACAACCCCACCTCACTCCCTCACTGTGCGGGTTTGGTGCAAGCCATCACCTCAGTCTGCCCACAAGCTGTGCCCCCTCCCCCACGCATCACTTATGCCTGCCACCCCCCATAAACTTATCTACAGGCAGTTGCAGCAGCTGCTCTCTGCCATGCTGCCTGGGGCTGTTTCCTAGTCACGTGCATGTGCACACATGCATGTGGTTCCCCTTGCCTCTGATCATTCTCCTCCTGCTTCCCTCAGCCCTAAGCAGCCCCTTGCAGGCTGGAACTCTGGCAGCCTACAAACAGAAGTCCTCAGTTTCCTGCATTTTTATCCTTTAAAGGAGAAAAATCTGCATTTTTCTGCAAGCAAATGGAAAACCTGTGTCCCTGTTTATGACAGATTAAATGCCTAACTCCCAGGCAGAATTAGAACCCTACTGTGCTAGAAACTGAGCAAACACTGTAAGAACAGCCACTGCTCCAAAACAGTATAAAGATATGATGGAACAATAAGCATAAATCAAAATGGATGGGATAAATTAGGAAAACTGAACTATTAAATATATTATTGGACAGACTAATTGTATCAGCAGTCAGACTGTTAGTCAAACTTTTATAGACCCAGGGTATCATAAATAAAACCAGTCCCAAATAGTGAAGAATATCCACAATGGCTATGTTCTTTCTATCCATGTTGCGTTTACATTTCATCTTCCACCACAAATCCTCTCGAAAGGTAGGATCGGTGAGAAATAGCATTCTGTGATACTAGAGGGTGGTGCTTTCTTTTCTTTTTTTATTTTTTTTTACATTAGCATTTTTCAAAGTATAAGATGGGTGTTTTTTCCCAAAATCAGAAAACTTAAACAAATAATTTATGCACAAAATTACAGAGGCTAGCTACAACAGTTCAAAACAAAAAAATTGCCAGTCATAAAAGAGACATTATTACTATAATGCCAGGACTCTACTAATTCTTTGTATCATGTATTACTAATTAATGTGGTAGGGAATACATTTTATGAAGAATAAGTTCAATTAGAAAGATGGTCTGAACACACGAACTACTGCAAGGTATGCCCATGAGTACAAGGACTAAGTACAGGCAATAAAAAAGCCCCGGGTGGAATCGATTCAATCTGCACAGTTTCATCTAAGCTGCGTCAAACAAACCGCTAAACATACTGTGACTGACCTTCAGTTTTCAATTAGGAAATGCAGGGGGAGGCCTGCAATGTCCCTGGCCAAAAGGCAGGGGCACTAGAGCATGCCTCCCAGCCTGCCGCCATTGGGAACCCAGCCAAGCAGGGCCATTCCCAACTGGCTGCCCCGCACACACACCCCTAGCCCCCTGCTGTTCTTCTGCAAGGCATTTAGGAGCCGCTAGTCCAGGGGCTGGCCCACCTGGAGGGAGCCTCCATGTCAGGAGTTTTCCCAGTCCAGGGCAGCCCTGGGGAGAAGAGGGGAATTCCCACCCTCCTGCTTCCCCACAGCTGCTTGCCTCAGCCACTGCCACAGGGAGGAGGGAGAAGGAGACCTCTGGGTCAGTGCCTGCCTGTGCAGCCCAGTGTGGGGGCACTGGGGAGCCCCAGCCTTGCAGGGCTCCCTCCTGCCCCAACCCAGGGTCCCCCAGACCAAGGCAACCCTAGGGAGCTGAGGGGAATTTTCCAGCCCCTGACATGGCTGTTGGCCTCAGACACCTTTCCCCTCCCTCCTGCGGTAGTGGCTGAGGCAAGCAGCCATGAGGAAGAGGGAAATTTCTCTAGCTATCTGGGGCAGCCTCGGGCGGGGGTGTGGCTGGTGCTGGGCCAGAGGTGGCAGATGGTGAAAAGGAAGGGCTGGGGTGGTGCCAGCCCCACCATATGGCCTTTCCCTCCTCCTGTGCTGGGAGACCCGGCTAGGAGGGCCTGGGAGTCCATTTCCTTGCCCCATCCCACCAGGCTGACAGGTGCAAGCAGGATGCAGGGTAGGGAGCAGAGGCTCTACTGCCTCAACCCTGTGACAGGTAGGGTGGGGGCAGCTCTGCTTTGCTGGAGAAGGCAGCACAGCCCAGGGCTGCAAAGCAGCCTGGGATGCTGGGGGACTGTGAGGTAACTTGAGTCAGGAGGGAATCTGAGACAGTTCCATAAGCTGGTTTAACTTAAATCAATTAAATCCGATACTACGTTCATCTGGGATTATCTTAAAACTGGGTTCATCTATTTTGAAACTGGTTTGTGTGTGCTGAACTTCTGTTCCGTTGCAGCTTTAAACTGGTTTCTGATCACTTAAACCAATTTATGTGCAAATTCTGTCCCTAGCGAAGGTGTTAAGCAGATGCATTCAATGCTAAAAATTGCATAAAGGCACAGAGTCTCTTCTTTCACCGGAAGTATAATAGTTGGGGTATGTGACCTTGAAAGTTTAAGGAAGCAGAAATGGAAGTCTCCATTTTTGCTATTGTAAAATAATTTGGGAAAAGAAAAATAAATAATTTTGAGACTTATGATGCAACTATCAAAACGCCCATCAAGAATGACTGGCAGGCTGCAGGGACAGAGCACCACCACCCACTGCCCCACCCTCCTGCCACTCTATGTCCAGCCACATGCAACTCCCCGAACCCCCATGTGCCCCCCCACACCTGACACACACATGCCCATACACACACAGCTACATGCCACACCCGCGCAGCCACACACCAGACCCACCCACCCAGCCGCATACCACACCCACACCCCCACCCCCCACCCCCAGCACAGCAGAGCATACCCTGGTCCCCACTGCCTCCACCTTGTCTGTCTGTCTGTAAGGCTCCAGGTGGTGCATGCGCAGTTGGCCTGGAGCATTATGGACAGACAGACACACAGCCAGAAGTGGTATGGCTTTTATTATATTAGAATTCAAAATATTTTTGAATCTTTACAAATCTACTTGGACAATCCAAGTTGGTTCATGCTCATCAATACTTTGATTAATCTTTAAATTTGTTAATGAGAAAGTATTGGTAGGGGGGAAATGATCTTTAATCACATTTGCTTAAATCAAATAAAAAATTATCAGAAAAATGAAGAATTGGTGGTTAAACTCAGGATATGCATCTCTACTTTCAATGTAATTTAGCTAATCTGTGATCAATTCCTGTATGTTCCTTCAATATACATTTCAATCTATAACTAAAGACTTAGTTTGTGAAACATGTAAGTACAATACAGGATATTTAGACATTTGCTTCATAAATCTTACACATCAGGCCTGTGAAATAGATCCAAGTAAAAGAGAACAATAGAGCTAATCAAGGAACACTACTGGTGAACTGAAATCTATAAGTCTCTCCACACCCATGGAATTTCTTCACTTCTTTTAAAATGAATAGGGACTAAAAAGTATGAGAAAGAAAAGTTCTCCATTTACAAGAATTTTTTTTTAATGATTTCCCTTGGTTGTAAGAAATTAAGGTTTCTCTCCCTGAAAACACTTAATTCTTTACAAAAATCATCATAATTATTTCAGATCAACCAACAAGGAACTTTGAAAAAGTTAACATTTGAATATATATTTTCAGACAATGTTTGACTGACCCCTCAACAGTGAAGTGAATATTTGTACATCCCTTTTCCATTAGAATTTCTTTTTATAAAATTCCTGACAAAATTATAGTAAAGCCTTTGAACATTTTGTTACTTTGTTCTACTTGTAGTTAATAGGTAGAAACGAATGCTTTAAAAAATTGTATTCAGTATAAAGACATGGGAAAGAATGACTCTCTCAACTTGAGTTCTTTATTATAAATGAACATTACACTTTGAATAAACCTGTAAGAAATTATATAGCAATCTACAGATACTAGCTGAAGAATGACAATGTGTTACCTACAACATTAACAATATGAAGTATGTCAAAATAGGTTATTAATGTTCACTTTTTGGTATTAGTAATAATTTCCAATCCCAGGATCCTCTTTTAGATAAGAATCTTTATAAGCACCTTTTCAAATGGTATACAAATAAAAACTATATAAACATATCCCTATTTTTACTACTCCACATATTTACTCCACATTTTTAACAACAGAGTTTGATATTATTTACTATTATTGTTACTATTATTATTATTATTATTATGCTCCTTTTGTTTAGGAAACCATTTGAACAGCACTTGACTTAAATTGTTTCTCCCTTTGTTTATTTTTAAATGTGTATGTCTACATACCAATTAAAATGGTAATGTTGATTTAGATTGAGCAGTCAATAAGGGTGTGGGCACGACCATTTGGAGCCCTTTCTGAAGGGAAACATTTCAAAAGGGCAGCAGCTGGCATATTCTAATTGTTACGTGTGAATGAGCTGAGAATGACAAATCCAGCAAACCCACTAACTTTAACCAAGGATGAAGGATTACTAAAGTTGGAGCAGGTTTGTGCATCTGTGTTGATTTCAGTTTTTTATCTCTATTACAAAATGTTTTCCCCAAGTTTCTGGAATCCTAAAATAATTGCTACTACAGTATTTAATTACTTTACTCAAGTCAATTCTAGCTAGTGGCCACATAAATTCATTTTCTGTATTTTACTACGGGAAAACAGAAACAGCAGCAAATGAAAGCAAAAGGCTCCCATTTTTGTTTTGGAATATATTTTTTATTTACTGCAATACCCCCATGCAGAAAGAGATTACATCCATATAAGCCTAATATTTTGAGAATTCAGAATTCATGTAGTTTCCATTCTACCTGAGATTACTGCACACTAATTATTTACCTCTTTCTGATCAAGCTGGAGAGAGGATTTTATCAAGTCTCGGAGGGCAGTAAGCTGTTTCTTTTCTTCATCTTGTGTCTGCTTTATCTGTGAACAAAAATATATACTATTACACATTTTAGTTCAGCTTTTATTTTTATATATTATATATTTTTATATTCAAACAAATATGTTCCCATTAAAGTTAATATAAATATAGAAGAGCCTGTTCCTTTTGACTTATCCTCCGTGGAAATATAATTCTGAAAGAAAGTCAAAAGTGAATATATAACTATGTATGAAAAATAAGACTCTCTAGACACTAAAAATAAATGGACAGCATGTCCTAGCTTGTTAAACATTAACGGTTCATTATAGCTACTGCAGGCAAATTAGTCTCTAAAGTATCAATTAGAATCTCAAATAGGATGGACAAATAGTATATAGCAAGAGAGGCAGGAGAGAAACATTTTCATTCAGCCACAGCCTACAAAGGCAAATGGGATTAGTGCGACTTCAGATCATGAAATACAAGAGTATTCTGCTAAACGTGTGCTCTGATTCTCTATCACTTCTTGCTTTTCAATGAGAAGGTCATTTGTATATTTGTGAGATATCACAGTACAGCATTAATTAATTAATTAGCCACACATTGTGTTGCATGCAATTCCAAATGTAGTCTGCGTTATAAATCAGTCTTTCACAAAATATCAGAATATTAGCTACAGTTACTACTATGATTAATATTTGACTCAAGAATATTCATCTTTGAACAGAACTTTTCATATTGCATGCTCAGAGCTTCTTTTAGCAGCTGAATACTTTTTAGTTTCAGTTTACTGACAGTACCTGGACTGAACTCATCTAACAAAAGTAACAACACATTCCTTTATCTAGAAATTAAGCTACTTCATTGGTTACTTACATTATATAAATCAGCAGCCAATTTTTCAATATATTGTTTCAGTTTATCAGCTGTTTTCAAGCCATCTTGGAAAAAACTATAGAAGGAAAATACTTGTGATATCAGCAATACATGACATTTATATAACAGCCCCCCCCACCCCAAACACACACTTTACATCACAGATTATAAAAGAAATGAAGTAAATTTACCCCTGTTTTCCTACATACAGAACAAAATATATTCCCATTTTATACATGGTTGAATTTTTACTAAACTGTCTGAAACCATGTGAAAGTCCACTTAGCTCTAATATTAAGTCTCAGATCTTTAAATTGCTTTTTTCAATTTTGAATAATTTACTGTACCTTCACTAATATAACTCAGTACATGACTGTGCAGTACACTAAAACATATGCATTTATAATAAAGTTAAATCTTCAAAATAGTTTGAAAGACAAGTTTCATTTGGTTTTTGCTATTTCACACTTTGGCGTGTGAATTAATGACCTCTAAAAACATAACAATCATATGTAGGCAGATACAGGCGCTTACAATATGGATAAATCTCATTAAGCTTTAGAAACCCTGTGTGATCACACAGATGGCCTACTGGGTTCATGAATTCCACAGCAACACATAGGACACACGCACACAACTTGCGTTTATTAATCATGTATTTATTATTAAACGAATGCTCGAGGAAGGTGACAATGGCCCCCTGAACAGTCCTGTTCTTCCTTTATCAGTTTTTTACTGCATGTTTCCCACCTGCTGGCTACCTAATCATTTCTTTTCTATCCTATTTTTATTTACCTTTGGAGTTTTCCACAAGTTGTTGTTCCACCTGCTGTTTAACTTTGCTGTGTCTGCTTCTCTCCCAGAGGCCTAACAAAGGATACTGCGATACCTGAAAGCTTGCCTACGTCTATCCCAACCATGCAGCCGGTCCAATAAAAGATGTTACCCACAAGAATTCTTGCTGCTCACATATTTCTTAGACCATTATAGCAACAACATCACTTCAGCACTAAAGCATTTCAAGATTTTTAAATAAAAAGAAATAGTCACTAAAATACTAAAGTTGTTTTCAAATGGCAACAATATTAATGAATATAAGCAATGAATTACCGAATGCAAATTTAAGATAAACATTAATAAATAATAACTACATAATAAAGCCAAATGGGACTGCTGATTATCTCACATGTCATCCTGCAGGAAACCTCTGAATTCATTTTTGTTTGAACTAGTGCATATATTTTAAGAAAATATGCATCTTGATTAAAAAATGTCCAGTGAAGAAAAAACCACTAGTCTAGCTAGTGAAGTTTAAGAACTCATTTGACTAAATTAATCCAGTTTCAAATAGTTAACTTTCTTGAGGTTTTTTTCCCCAAATGAAATTCAAAGAGATGAGCATCTAGCCCTCCTTACAGAAAGGGCATCAAACAGAACAGATAGAGCTATCCAACCAAAGTTTGCTTGGATAAACAATATTTGGATTTCAGGCAATGATTAGAGATAACCAAGTATTGTTGATTTTTCATCATTAGGTTTATTCTACAAAAATATCTTAAATGCAACAGTTGCACACTGCTAAAAGTAGAAGCCAATATCAAGTCAAAGTAGCAGAGATATAGAGAAATGTAATTTGAACTGTAGCAGATAAAAAGCCAAAACACTGTACTTACTTGCACTGTGCATGATAATACTTGATAAGATTCTGTAGAAGGTCCACACCTTTTTTTGTCTTGATTTCATTAACCTTAATGAGATACTGTAGAAGAAAAAATAAACAAACAAGTAACTTGTGGTTTGTAAGTAAGTGTTTAGGTACTTCCTTATGGTCAAGCAGTAAAATTGTTATTTCAAATCTGTTAAATTAATAATTACTCTCTATGGTTACCTTGTTGCTGATTTACAGTGTTGAAACAACGCAATGACCAATACCTGGGCATGGCAAATTAATTAGAAAAACTGTCAAAATGAGTTTATTTGGCCTTTATAAAATAGATGTGCCATGAGTTCAAGAAACTTACTTCCTCTCAACATGAATTAATATCTGCCTTTTTATACTATTACAGTTGTTATTTTCTCTAAAAACAAACAACTCCCCCTGGAAAAACTTAAAATACATAAGATCAGTTAAATATAGTAAGTTACCAGTAAATACTTGAGAGGACTATAGAAAAATACCATTTGTCACAGTCAACTATCAGCTTAATAAGCATCACTGTGGAGCAATGACATGCAAGCTGTCCAGCCTCACAGGCCAGATGAGTGGCATGGGGTTAGTCCACAGGCCAGATCCAGCACGATGCTGGTTGGTCCACAAGTGAAATCCAGCATGCCAGCATGACCCAGCATGTCAGATCCGGCCATGGTGTGACTGCACACCAGTACAGCTGCGTGCTAAACCTGATCCTGGTGTAACCCTGTGCATCAGATGTGGCCACAGAGTGACTGTGAACTGGTAGAAATCTGGCACTCAGGGTTGTCTAGAAATTTGGCAGCAGTGAAGCAATGACAACATTAGTTGCTACGGTTCTGGGAGCAATCAACACTGATGCTACTCCTCCACTCCCAAATTTCCAGACCCAAGGGGAGCCCCACAGGCTAGATGACATCTCCATAGGCTGCATCCAGCCCATGGGCTGGTGGTTGAACAACATTGCTGTAGTCTTCACCAGATAGTTCCTATCAGAGGAAAAACAAAATAAGAAAACACATCCTGGATGGCAATGCTTGGCACTTGAAGACCAAAAATATTTCCCTTGCATCTTGGCCTAAGATACTTTGTTAACTAAACCAGTGGTTCTCAACCCGTGGCCTGTGGGCTGCATGCGGCCCAATCAGCACACTGCTGCAGCCCATGCAACATCCTGTTAAAAGAAAGGTAAAGACATTTGACAGTATAGAGATCAGAGGTATTACAAAATAATGATTTGTATTGCACTACTGTCAGATAACAGATGCAAAACATTTTTAAAATGGATACACAGGAAATAAGTTGTGTAGGTGCAGCCCACATAACATATTGAGAGCTGCAAGCGTGGCCCACCATGGCAAATAGGTTGAGAACCACTGGTCTAAACAGGAGTAAAATTCATAACGAAATGAAGAAGTCATATCTTGCATAGGATTATTAGGACAAGGCTGTTTAATATAGTTCTACTACTTGCCAGCCAGATCCATTTTCCCACTACGCTGCCCAGAATGTTTCATCACCTCTCTTTATTATGACCCAAAGGACAGTTCAAATTAAAGTGAGCCAGAATTTAATGGTGAATGTTGTTTCTTACTTCACACATCTGGAGCTGAAATAACCGCCTTTCCTTCTCCATTTCTTCTGCTATCTCAGCTCCTGTTATCTCTGTTCTTATCATCCCATGCTGTTTTGCATGCTCTCGTTTTTCCTTTTCAATTTTTGTGCTGTAATTATAATCAAATAAATATTTAAGGAACTTATTTATTCTTATACAATGTAGCATTTTTTTTTACTAAAAAAATACTGTGTGTATTATCATGGTAGAAAAAACTCCATCAATGAAGACAAACACTTCTATATTATTTTAAGGTTCCAGCAATATAATGAAAACATTTAAGTTGACCTTTCATCTTTTCTTTATCTTCCTATAGGTCTTAGTTTACATGTTTACTAATTGCTGTGGTCTGATATGAACTAGCCTTTTTAGTTGTACAAAGTATACAAACATAGGAAAAGAAACCTGTGTGACATGGTAAAAGGGATGGGACAAGTGGTTCTGCATTCCTAGTTATATGTTCTAAGCCCTGTAGGGGTTAGAAATTCACAGTCAGTCAGTGGATAATATATTAAACTGCTGTCTCCAGACCCAGTCCTGTAAATGTATGACATACTGATTCCTTTCTACAGGGAAGAAAATATTCCAAGACAAGAATATGAAGGGCTAAAACTACGGACTGGTAATATGCATCCTGACTTACACTCTAAGGCAACCCAAGAGGACAAATCTTAGGGCTCCTCTTTGGCAATTTTATGCAGTAAATTTACTCCAGTTGTATTCAAACTAAGGCTGCATACACACATTCAAATGACCTGGAATTTCCCTGTGTTTGTTCTCCTGGAAGGAAAAACTTATCTGTGGAGTAGCCTGAACAGATATTTAAATGCTTAGTCCCTGAAAAGCAGAGAGTTTGCAGTGCTGATGCTGAGCACCAGGGGTCCCTGTATACACACTGCAGCATGCTCTGCAGGCTCTCTCAGTCTGCCTGGCACCAGATGGCAGCAAGGCACAGGGTAGCCCTGACTGGCTGCCCAGACTACCTGCATCTCCCCATAACACGATGAAGGATTGTGAAGATGGTGTGTTCACAGTGCTTGGCTTGCTCGGCTTTAACAGCCGAGTCCACTGAGTGACAGTGTCTCCAGGGAGGACGGAGCAAAGGCCCCTGGAATACTAGAGGACTGTACTGTGGTTCCACACTCTCGGGAGAAACTCTCCCAGGAGTAATTTAACCTTGGTTGCTCACAAGTTATAGACTCATAGACATTAGGGCAGAAAGGGACCTCAGAAGATCATCAAGTTCAGCCCCCTGCCCGAGGGGCAGGAAGTCAGCAGGGATCATAGGATCCCAGCAAGATAAACATCCAATTGTCTCTTGAAGGTGTTCAAAGTAGGTGCTTGAACCACCTCCAGCGGCAGTCTATTCCAAACCTTGGGGGCTCAGACAGTAAAGAAGTTCTTCCTTATGTCCAGCCTGAAATGGTCATGGAGGAGTTTGTGACCATTCGACCTTGTCATCCCTTGGGGCGCTCTGGTGATCAGACGTTCCCCCAGGTCCTGCGAGCACCCCTGATAAACCTATAGGTGGTCACCAGGTCCCCCCCGAGCCTGCACTTTTCCAAGCTGAAGAGTCCCATGGCTCTCAGCTTCTCATCATAAGATCCATTTTCCTGACCTCTGATCATGCACGTTGCTCTCCTCTGCACCCTCTCAAGCTTCTCCACATCCTTTTTGAATTGTGAAGCCCAAAACTGGATACAGTACTTCAGCTGCAGCCTCACCAAGGCTGTGTACAAGGGGAGAATGACGTCCTGGGATTTGCTTGAGAAGCATCTATGGATGCAAGCCAGCATTTTGCTCGCTTTACTAGTCACAGCATCACATTGAAGACTCATGTTCATCTTGTGATCAATCATGACCCCCAAGTCCCTTTCATCTGTAGTGCTAGCCAGGTGTAGCACTGCCGAGCCTATAAGCATGCTGCAGGTTTTTCTTCCCAAGGTGGAGAACCTTGCATTTTTCAGTGTTAAACACCATCAGGCTGTCGTCCACCCATTTCCTGAGCCTGTCAAGGTCTGCCTGGATCACCCTCCTTTCCTCAGGTGTGGACACTTTACCCCAGAGTTTGGTGTCGTCGGCAAACTTGGCCAGTCTGCTTCTGAGACCAATGTCTACGTCATTAATGAAAATGTTAAAGAGTATAGGCCTTAGGACAGAGCCTTGAGGGACCCCACTGGTGACCGCACACCACGACGATTGACTTCCATCAACCACCCCCCTCTGGGTCCTACCGCGGAGCCAATTCCCCAGCCAGTGAATCGTAGTGGGGCCAAGGCCACAGTTAGCCAGTTTTGTCAAGTGGTGATCATGGGATACCAGATTGAAGTCTTTTTTAAAGTTAAGATATATGACATCAATCTCTTCTCCCTTGTCCAGGTGATAGGTCACCTGGTCGTAAAAGGAAATGAGATTGGTCAAGCAAGACTTACCTGCAACTAACCCATGCTTGCTATCCCTCAGGATGTTGTTGTCAGCCAGTCTGTTAAGAATGGCCTCTTTGATAATCTTTTCTAGGATCTTCCCCGGGACAGAGGTCAGGCAAATGGGCCTGTAGTTTGCCAGATTTGCTTTCTTCCCTTTCTTGAAGATAGGTACTACACTGGCCTTCTTCCAATCTTTGGGCACTTCAACAGAGCACCAGGAGTTCTCAAACATCTGTGCCAAGGGCTGATGCTAGCCAGCTCCTTATTTTTCTCCTAAGGCAGCCATTTTTGCTCTGGGAGAAAACCTTTGTACATTCATGTTTTCTCCTGGGACAGCAGTGTTCTGCTGCTTTTCTTCTCAAATTATTCCCTCCTCATCTCCTAGCTCTTTTAAAAATGACATTAGCTGTACTTTGGAAACCTTTAAAATATATCTGGAAAAGCGTTGTGTATTTATTGGGATGGTGCCTTGCAAAAACAAAGAACATTTTGCTTTCTATTTTCTGAAGTTCAGAACTTCAATAATAAGGGACCACTTTCCATTTGTTCAGTTACCTCTACAAAAAAACCCTAGACCTTAAACTGTGGCAAATGCCTATATTTTTATTTGCATCTACATGACTTGATATATTCCTTTCCCCCGCTTTTTTTAAAGCTAAGTAGGGTGTTAGTTAGTAGAGTAGAACATTTTGCAGTTCTAATTCTGGTTCTGATCTTTATTTTTTCTTTGGGCAAATTACTTAAACTGTGTTTCTTCTTTAAAATGTCATTTCACATAAGGTTCTTGTTTTGTCCAAGTTAATATGCATAAAGTTATTTACATTATAGAAAAAAGAGTTTTGCAACAAGAAAGCTATTTTTCTGGTCAGTCTTGTAAATCCAGTCTAAGAGCAGGTTGGCAATCTTGGTTCTCTTTGTCTTGGACATCATCAAAAAATTCCTACGCACAGGTATTACAGGAACTGACCACGCAATCCTAATATACAGTCAACTATTCCATTGACAATACACAGACTAGACAACTACTCAGAATATCCACTGAGAAACAGCCACTGCTGACTGCATAACTATTGGAAGTATGCAGATGTGACCAAACACACCAGAACCAAATTTGGCATTTTTGACCTGAAGTTTAATCCTTCACTTCTTCATCTGGAAGATGGAGGTATTTACTTACTAGACTATACTGATTTAATACTCATTATGATATTGAAACATACTACTTAATTGCTAAGATTAGGTATTTATCACTTATAGGTCACAATAACTTAATGGTATGTCTAGAGTTGTAACCTTTTCTTTAAGGGTTGATTCTTGCTTACATATAAGCAACAAATAGTGACCCAAAGTAAGTATAATAAACAGGGTAAACAAGAAAGTAGACAGTTTAACATGAAACAATAAATAAGGTTTCCAATGCTTCCTTAAAATGCATTTATATTAAAACATGAATTCTCTCGTAAACAGAGAAGCTGTCAATTAAAATCAACCATTACTATTATTCAAAATTATTTTAAAATACTTTATCCTATCAAGTTAAATAATGGACTTCCATGGTCTACAGTCACACACAGTTAGAATCACTGAATTTTGAATATAACACTCTACAACTAATGCCAGTACAGAATTCAAGTCCTTCCTTGAATACGCTGTAACAGATTATCAAAAGCTTAAGTGACTGATTTGTGCATGGAGATGGATGATAGATAAAGCTACTGCCACTCACTGCTTTGCAGCACTTGAAATCATCAGACCGAGTTTTTTGAAAGCTTAAGTGGAGTTATGTTTGAAAAATATTCAATATTATTTTTACATTACAACTAATTTAAATTTAAAAAGAATGGTTTCAAACAAAAAAAATTGTTACTATGTTTCCAAATGTTCATCGCTTTTATTTATTTATTTATTTTTTTTAAATAAAAATCACTGCTCCTTTGTAGTTAGGCAAACTTTTATGTAACATTACAGGCTGTTGATGACTACGGAGTAATACAAGCCAACTATTTTAAATATTTTTCTCTCATTAAGACTTGTTTCACAAGCTCACAAAAAAAATCATGACATCTGTAGTGACTAGACTCATTTGCATAGGTGATAGTGTGAATATACATCTTCCAACTTCAAAACAATATTTAAAATTGGGATATTCAGTGCCTAAAGAGAAACAAAGGCATCTTCTTTATAACAGAGAATAGAGGTATACCCTTTAACTTTTATGGAACACTTAAAATTGTGAATTTCTATCAACATTGAGGAAATATGCTTAACACTATGTTCATGGTATTGAGAGAACACCCTTCTGTAATCCTTCATGTTTACTGATTTACCCATGGTAAATTATACATTCCTGAATCAAACTGAATATCTAGGCATAGTAGGGACCTGCTGAATAATTCTGACTCATCTACAAAAACTAAGATAAATGGCAAACATCTTCAGGATAACTTAATCAAAGTTAAAACATGAAATGTCTAACCTTTAATGTAATTAAAAAGTTCGCTTATCTGTATGAATTATGACAAATGAGAAATGCTTACAATTTGGTCTCATAATCCTTCCAGGCTTTGTCAAATGGCTTTTTAAGATCCTAAGGAAACAGAAAATACACGTGAAATATGTTTACATTTTTAATTAAATGTTTAAAATTAATATCATTCTAAAGTCATGAATAGCATTTCAAACCATACTGAATAGCATTTTAAAGTCTCTCCTTTTGAATCTTTTTAAGTATTCCTTTCCCATATATCTTAAGACATACATTCATAATTAATACTAGTGGACATGTGTAGAATTTTATTCATGCACACTTCACTTTCATTCCAAACAATATAGGGGGTACAGCATAGCCTAGTGACATGGAAAGTAAAGCAAACACCCAGGCAACTCTGAGTTTCTCTTCCAGGACTGAACACTTACCCCTTTAACTCCTTTCAAGTCTCCTTTCAAAAGAGAATCCAAAGTGAAGATAACATTGTGGCTTAAACCCTGCAGCTAAAAATAAAAAGCACCATTTGAACTTAAAGCAACCTATAAATATTACAATCTATACAAGTTATTGCAAACACATTTTATTTTATTTCATTACCTTGTAGCTACACTCACTACAAAAAAGTTCCAAAACAGCAGTAAAATCAAATACATAAAATGTTAATCCTCATGCATTTGCAAGGCAAAAGAAGCATTAAAATATGATAGTGAAATTATAGACATGTAGGAGAATATGAAATTAAAAATAACCCAAAACTGGTGCATAAGGGAAATTTAAAAAACAGTACGTAATTTATCGTTTCCCTACTCAGCATGGGAATGATTTAAATTGGGGTGGGCAATTATTTTGCCTGAAGGGTTACTTAACAAGTTCCGGAGAGCCGTTGAGGGCTATAAGCATACACCCCTTATCAAACTGTTACGCCTTGAGCCTTGACAGGTGCCCCACCCCTCGAATGCCATCTTGGGACTGGAAGTCTTGCCCCCAACCCCTGACTTTTGCCAAAGGAAGTCCCACCCCTTGCCCCAGAAATACTCCTTTTGGGAGAGGAGTTTGCAGTCTTGGAACTGGAAGTCCTGCCCTGTCACATGGTCCATGACATAAGGAGGCCCACGCACCCTGACACAAAACCTTACCCCACTCTCTGCCATGTTGGTCCCAGAATCCCTTGCCCCCATCACATAGTCCACCCCTTGACTGGGAAATGTTGCCCTTCCACAGGGCCCACCCTCATGATGCGTGGTCTGCCCCTGGGGCCCCAGAATATCTGTCCTCTGGACCAGAGTTTCCTCAAAGCTGCACGGCGTGAGTGGCTGCACATGCACACCTGGCAATGTGACATGAGCGCGACTGCGCAGCTTAGAGGGAATTCTTCCCCTGACCATGAAGCACGGGCATGACCTATCAGGTAGTGAGGGGTTGTGACCCCTCTACCAACCCGCCTCATTGCCCTCCACCAATCAGTGCAGGTTTCAGGGGTGTCAGACCTCCCCAAGAATGATGCCAAACCAATCAAGTTGAGGGCCACACACAAAATCTTTCAGAAGAAATAATTTTAACAAAGTATAGATAAAAACAAATCATATACTAAAAATCAAACATCTACTATAACATATTTTATTTTTAAAACATGTTTTTCTGCGTGCTTTAGTATATACAGAAGTGACTGCATAATATTTCAAAAAAGTCTTACTTTTGTATATTGTGTGTGTGGGGAAGGTAGGTGTGTGTGTGTTGGGATGGGTCCCGGCCTCAAAGAAAAGAAGGGAGGAATATTTGCATCCTTAGCAGATCACAAAACCCATCTTACTCCGCTATTACATGTATGGGGTGTGGTTTCTGCCAATACCTAACAAGACAGGTCATGACTAGAGGAAATGGGTTATCCAATCAGCCCTGCCCTGCCCTCCACAGGTGAGATTCCGTTTCATAAACATCAATTCTGTTCAGCTTCTGCCCATAACCTCAAGTGGGAAACAATGAAGGAGCCATGACTTTTCCCTTCTTGCTAACAAGACAGACCCCCTTCAGGCTAAGATGTGTTCCATGCAATCGCAATCATTTTTCACTCTGACCAAGTATAATAAAGAACCAAGTATAATAAACCTGAGAACACTGCCCCTTAAATGGGGGCTTTCATCATATTGTCAGTTCAAGTAACTATAACCTAAATATAAAAATCATAATTTTTATTTATTAAATTAATCTTAACATTTATAAATTCATGCACGCAAAGGCTGAGGCAGTACTTGATGAACCCAAACTTTTGTACCAAGGATTACAGAATACTGTCTTCTCATCTACTTTATAAGTGAAGGAAATAGAGATGATAGATGGACACTATGCACTCTATATACATTAGACCAGGGGTGGGCAAAATACGGCCTGGGGGCTGGGCTGGGCTGGATGTGGCCTTCCAGGCCATTCTATCTGGCCTGCAGGGCCCCTAAAAAATTTAGAAAATTAATATTTATCTGCCTTGGGCTGCCTGTCATGCGGCCCTCGATAGCTTGCCAAAACTCAGTAAAGTGGCCCTCCGCTGGAAATAATTGCCCACCCCTGCATTAGACACTTTTCAAAGCACAAAAAAAACCAAAACTTTCCTAGCAAAAGTAGAGCAGCTTGTACAGATACCTTATTCATTAGGGTCGCACAGAATTTCCCTCCTTAGATCTATCATCAGCCTTGAACTAGAAACAACAAACCCAGTCCACTTATTCATTTTTACACTATTCTGTCTATATAAATGGGCTTTGCAATATTCCGTGGGGATCATCAGCAAATTTGGGCTCCATTAGGCCCAGATTTTAGACTAGCATTCTTGTTTATTTGTAAAGAAACTCTAAAAACAATGCCTTAAAATGTGATTCGGCAGCTGATCACATGTTTTGCAGGGTGTTGGGGGTGTAGGTGGGAGGAATGTTCATGAACACGAGCTAGTTACTTGCATTTTCACCTGATACAGTATGTCAGCACTCTTTCAAATTCCATCCTTCTTATGACTCACAGATATTGGAACTGATTATTACCCTTGAACACTATGCTGCCGCAATTCAGCTGACATATGCTGACGTCTTCAGGAATGAATATCTTTAGAACTGTCTTGAGTAATGTGCCAGTAAAATGAAATGCATACATACATTCTCTGCCTTTTTGTATTCATACAAGGTTTTTCTTCATAATGCTATCATGATAATGAACAACAACCACCAAAGAATCTGGACTGCAATCTCATCAACTCTAAGGTAGTTTAAATCTTGAAAAGGAAACATCTCAAAAGGAGAATTCAGGTGCTGAAAGTAATGGTACGAGTTACCGAGTAAGTGGCCTCCTGCACAACACAACAGAATTTATGTTATATATATAATTTGCTATGAAAATAAATGAGGCCTGAAACTCAGCTGTAGAAAAAAAACAACCAGTTACTGATCCTATCATATTTAGCAAACTTGTAATGGGTACTTAGATTACTTCTGCCATTATCTGAGTCTTCAAAAAAAGCTACAGAACTATTAAGTTACAGGTTTTTCAGTCTGAAAACACCAAACATATGCACAAAAGTACAGGCACACTTATAACCGAGTATACTATTGCCTTCCTTGTACACAAGCTGTCATATACAATCACAGTTAAAGTGGGTACAAATTATTTGCATAGCTTTTAAAATTTGGATATATGCATTGGGCATTTTGCAAATGATTTTAAACAACCCATGGCTATTTAACATCCGTTATACTTCCAAGCTTAAGTAGAATAAAAGGTGGTAAAATGTCTACATGCATCACAGTGAGGAAAAAAAAAATACAACTGAAAAAGCACCTCTCAAAACTATTTGGCCTCAAAGTGCAAATAACAGCTATAAACAAATTGTGAACATTTGGGACATGAAATGATGCGCACGAGTTGATGCCATTATATTTGGGTAGGAGAAACCAATTTCTTAATTTAATGGAGTCATCTTAATATTAGTGTACAAGATCAGCAGAAACAAGATGGGATAACAGTATGCTGGTGCCACTTCTTTGGTCAATGGACAATGTGGCAGAGCACCTTTGGGGGTGCTCGCCACTTGAGGGCTCTCACAGGCTCCGAGGGGAGCCTGCTTTGGAGAAGCAGTAGGGGAAACGTCCCCCAGGTACCATTTGAAGGGAGGGAAGGTTTGTGGCAGGGCACTGTTGGTGCTGCCACTTTAAGATCCGAGCCAAGCTGCCAGCAGGTGTTTGATTGTGGCAGCCATTTTAGATCCCTGGCTGCCTATATAAACAGATCAGTTTCTTGCTAGTGAGTGAGGCAGTAATATTGCTGGGCTACAAGGCTCCATAACATCCTAGAGGTAAGGGCAGGAGCTGTAGGGGATGGCTTGGAGGCTCCTGGTCCTGGGCATGACCTAAAACTACACCCTGCCAGGAGTGGGTGGCCTGGTGGGGCTCTCAGTGGCATGGGAGTCCCCAGGAAATGCCAGGCCAGTGATCACTCCGGTGAAAGGCGAGAAGGGGTGCCTTAACCCTAGCCCTCACCTTCGGGTGGGTTTGCGTAACGCCAGAGGTAATTGGGGGCCAGGCACGGCTGCAGCCACCTGAGCCCTGTGGGGTGCAAGACTGTGAGAGACCCTGAGGATGGAGAGTGGGGGCCAGGCATGGCTGTGGCCACCTGAGCCCTGTGCGGGGTGTAAGACCCTGAGGAAAGGTAGCTGGGGCCAGGCATGGCTCCGGCCACCTGAGCCTACCGGGGAGCGAAGCCCCGTGGCCCCAAGTGAGGGTGCAGTGTGGAGCCCCAAGTGAGGAGGCAGAGATGAGGAACCCCAGTGAAGGAGGAGGAAAACCAGAGGGCTGAGAGCCCAATATGTTTATATAGCGAGAGCACGATGACATGCTGCTCTGGGGGGGAGTGAGAGTCCCTGTGAGACCCTGGAACACCAGTCGCGGTGTGAGTTACCCCAGCTCCCACAACCAGGCGGGTAACTCCTAGTAGGGGCCGGAAGGTGGGCCCAAGAGAGTGAAGGGGCTAGTGGCAGAGGCCTGATTAGGATACCCTCGAGTGGTCAATGCTGGGGCCAGGACCAGAACAGTCAAAAGGGCCAGGGGCCCACCTTGAGGGACGCCCAGAGCTAAGGGCCTGGGGTCCTGACTGGCCTTGGAGATGAGGCCAGGGCCTATGTGGCCAAAGGTCCCGGGGGGGACCACGCCCCAGAGGGGAAATGGTTTCAGGGAGCCAGACAGCCAAATGAAGGCTGGGTAGGCCGCCTGAATAGAGGGATCTTAGAGGGGTTCTGATTGGAGGATTTTGGGGCCCAGTGTGGGGCCGGTGAGACTCACAGATAGCATCCAGCTGTTAGGCATGGGTTGCGGTGTAGGGGAGATACAGAGCTGCAGATAGTGCCCCTGGCATCGGGGCAAGAATGGGCAGCCTCCCGCCTTAATTAACATCTTAATTAATTAAGAACAAGGCATGGCAGGAAAGTCAGGTGGGTGGCATGCCCAAAGGCAAGTGGGGAACCTAGCAC